TGTGTGTGTGTGTGTGTGTGTGTGTGTGTGTGTGTGTGTGTGTGTGTTTCAGTGCTTATTCCTGCACGTTATCGGAGCAAACTCAGTTTGAGTGTTTTCACATTCATCGTATAAACTGAGCTCTCCTCCGACGTGCACATTCACATACAGACACGGGAACATGCACTCATGCAGAAACGCTTTTAACCCAAACATAAACAAACAGAGGGGATGGGGGGTCTCTCCCTCCTTTCACCTCCTCCCTACTAACTGCAGTTCCCCAGAGAGCCCAGAGGGGGCGCCGCTGTACTCACCAGCTCATCATCATGCATAACGCTGACTCTCTCTGCACTGTAAACCACTTCTTTAACATCCAGAGACTCATCAATCACCTGTCAACACAGACAGGGGGGTCCACATTACACCACGGCCTGTGTGTGTGTCTGTGTGTGTGTTTGAAACAGAGATACAGACAGCAAGGAGAGCGGGAGGAAGGGGGGAGGCAGTCATCGACAGCAGACATTCTTTCAGCGCAGCGAGCGTCTCGTTACCGAGAGCTCCGATCGGAGGAACTCGAGCTCGAGGGGTCCGGGAGGCACCAAGAAGCAAGAGCTCAAAACAAAACAGCCGTCTGTAAAAACGGAGCGGTCTTCGTTCAGTTTCAGGCCCGGACGCTTCGCTAAGTTACTCAGTTCTCCGTGTTTTACTTTGTTCTGTGTGTTTTTCGTCGACTCAAAGTGGTTTCCAGGGATTTATTCCAGGCTTCGCAGACTCGTTTGCAGTCCCGGGGCAGGACAGGTCGTCAGTAGATTCATGACATCCTGCTGGTTTTAGCTCAGCGACACCGTTACGTCCACCTCTGTCACTGGATCCGTTAGTTTAGAAAACCAAACTCAGAGTTTAGCTCAAACTGAAGCTAACAACAAAGCTAACCAAGCTAAACATCTTACAAGTTGTTTTTGGTGTTGGTTACTTTAAGCAGCGGTCCGGTCAGGTCCGGTTTGGTCAACTTCAGGTTTAAAGTGAAGCATGACTCATCCCCGCTCAACCACTGGGTCAAATGTTTAAACCCAAAAAGTGAAAAACCGCAAAGTAGGGATAGTAGTACAAGTAGTAGTATTAGTTTATTTTAGTGTATATATATATATATATAAATGCTTTATAAGCCCTTCCCACACTCTTGCAATATTCCAAACAAAGTTCTAAACTTTAAACGCTTTAAGAGAGCACAGCGTGTCATGAGCTCCACTCTGCCACGCTGCAATCACACTCATCACCTCCCAGTCTCCCTCCTTCTGTGTAAATAAACAATTTACATTGTTTTAAATAAACAATCCTATTTAAAATATTACACCATTTAAATTTAAACTGTAGAGAAGCACAGCAGGACAGCAAAGGGTTAACCCTTCACGAAGCTGCATCAGCCGGAGGAGAAATGTGGGCGTGGCATAGAGCGCAGGTGGCAGAGAGTGGAGATCATGACAGGCTGCAGGAGGGAACTTCTCCCTGCACCTGATGATTTAGCAGGTGCTAAATGATTTAAAACAATTTATTTCAAATAAACCATCCGTGTCGCTCGTGCAGCTCATCCATCAATCAGCCAGTTGTGTGTCACGTCTAATCTTATTTTGGAAAAACCGAGAAAGAGCGAGGCCGCGAAAGTTGAACCGTGAAGTAGCGAGGGGCTATTGTAATTGCTAAACACTGTTAGCATCAGCTAGCTAGCTATATTAGAAAACTAAACTCAATGTTTAGCTCAAACAACTAAGTTATCCAAGTAAAACGTCTTCCGACTTGTTTTACCATCTCCAGTTCTTTGACATCCTGAAGAGGTTCAGTCGGTCCGATCTGGTCAACTTCTGGCTTAAAATGGCCGACTGTGACGGACAACTCGGCTCAATTATGACCAAAACAACCTGACCTTTGACCCAACAACAACAAGTTGAGTCATTAAAGTAACGCAGCAGTTTTCAATGAGGCTTTGGAATCGTTAGCGTTAAAATGATCGTGTGGAGATTGGACGTCAGCACGACTAATATTTACACGTCTGTTCCGTTCTCTAACAGCGGAGTTGTGGACGACTTTTTATGCATCTCGTAGTTTCACAGTTGGACCGCTCCGTTTTAAAAAAACGGCATAAAAAAATAAATAAATCATGCATTTGCTCACGTTCATGCACACACAACACACAGGTGGAGCTGCATGCGTGAAGCTCCACGAGGAGGCCTGGTGAGGCCGGCAGAGGGACGTGACATGCGGCGCCGAGTCAGGCAGCCGTAACTATGGCAACATAGTTACTGAACGATCCGCCACGCTAAAAAGCATTCATCTCTGAAAGCACCTGTCGGGATCTCGTCAAAAAGCCTCGCTCGAGTCGCAGAAACAGAAACGGGCGAGTGAAAACTTACCACGTTTTCCTCGGTTTTGGGTTTGCTGTTGATGATTCTCTCCTCGGCGCCGATCAGACCGTCCAGACCAGCCATGGCGGAGCCTGGAGGAGGAGGAGAGCTCTGTCAGAGACGGCAGACGAGGAGAAGCAAACGAGCGAGCAGGGACGGTGGCGTCACACGCACGTCTCCACAGCTGCCGACAACAATGGCCTTTCTTCCCCTCGACAGACTCGGCTCTGTCAACTCCACGCCCTGAAACTGCTGAAACACCCAGAACCAGTCGCTGAGCGGAGCCACGACAAACCTCTCAGCAACTCCACGCTCCATTTTTCTTTTCAAAAAACTCCAAATCTTCATCAAACGACTCTTTGATTCAACTCTGCTGAAGTCATGCATGAAATGAACCAAATCAACGAATCTGCCAGAAGGCAAAGGACAGCTAAAATGTTGTCTGTGTCCGTTAGCAAAATATCTCAAGAACCACTGGACGTGTTTTAATGAAAGTTTCAGGATATAACCAGCTCAGTTCAAGATGGCCGCCACAGCAAAGCGACCAATAAAAACACGAAAACAGATAAAACTTAGCCAATTTGATCGATACTGAGCTCAAATCTGGTGTGGTAGTAGCTGAGAGTGATCCTCAAAACATATTCTGAGCACTAACAGATTGAGAAATAGCTTTGTTAAATAATCATACAGAGTCAACTCTGTAAGTCTGTTAGCAAAACATCTCAAGAACCACAGGGCGGATTTTAATGAAACTTTCAGGAAATAATCTCTGGGTGAACCCGTCTGATTCAAAATGGCCTCCAGAGCCAATTAACCTTAGAAAACTCAAAACTGGCTATAATCCAGGCAGTTTTTACAGATTCTGAGAGTCGTCCACAACACGTGGTCTGAGTGACAGGACGTTATTTTCAAGGTTCGACCAAAGCGTTTACAATTCCATCTAAAACTCTGGCATGAAGGACGGCGGGCGATATGCATTCCTTCAAGGTTAAGTGAGCAAAAGACCAAAGTTAAAACAGCATCAAACAAAACCTGATGTTCCTGCGTCCTGGTCTGTGGTTTTAGAGTTCTGGTCCTTCAGGGCCACCGTCCTGCACGTTTTACCTGCCTGCTCCAACACATCTGATTAAATGGTTGAATCACCTCTTTATGTCCACCTGTTCATCACCCCGCGATCCAAATCAGGTGTGTTGGAGCAGAGGAACGTCCAAGACATGCAGGGTGGTGGCCCCCGAGGACCAGGACTGGACCCCCCCAGGGTTAGAGAATAGATTCAGGCAGGAGGACAACTCACAGCTCCTACAGGAACGATAGTGAGGAGGAGGAGGAGGAGAGGGAATAATTAACAAAAGGCGCAGTGAAACAGGACAAGATGGCCGCCGACATGTGAGCGGAGAGCTTGAGGGGGAGCACGTCGCTCTTTAAGACCTAAAACCTGCTTTTCTACTCAGGATGAGGTGATGAACGGATCAAACTGGGTTTAAATGTTAGTAATAAAACAAAGATGGTGGCCGAGCAGGGGGAGGGGGTCACAGGCAGAGGGGGGAGCAGAACGTAAAACGATGATGATGAAGGAGGCAAACAAGACCCAACAGAGGCACCAACCTTTCTTGAAGGCTCGAGGGGAGTCTGATAGATCGCCTTGGAAATGAGCAACAGAAAAAGGGAGAAAACTGAGGTAAGAAGAGAAAAGGCAGGATTATCAAGCTGTTAATCGATTAGAGAGTTCAGCAGGGAGAAACAAAAATAAATAAATAAATAACGGAGCCGTGTCTGAGCTGGCCCTCTGAGAGCTTAAATCTTCTCTGATGGGACTTTGTCGTCCGTCCTCCTGAACGATCGGCTCAAACGTGACGAAGAACACAAACTGCTTCTTTCTCCTGCCCTGCCTGAAGCTGCGGTTCCATCTGAGCTCGGCGGCCCGTTCACATCTGGACGCAGCTGTTCTGCTCTGACTCGTGTGGGACGGTGTGACAGTGTCTGCAGCCGCGTACCCTCGGGCTCGGAGCGGGACCCCAGCGACGTGACCTGGATGGGCCGGTAGGGTTTGCCCTCGGAGGCGGGGACCTCCACGCTCTCCTCCGACGAAACGGCCACGTCCGGCTGCGACTCGGAGATGGAGGACAGGAACTGGTCCATGTCGGCTTTCTGCTCCTGGAGCAGCTCATCTGCAGAGACACGAGACGAGAGACGAGACACGAGACAAGGCGTCAAACAAGTTCGACTTGATCCTCAGAGTCGACCTGTCACTGAGGACCGTCAGCTTTTCCAACACCTTCACTGTAAATGAAGACTTCACATTTCATCAGTTAGCCTTTAAAGAAATACAATTATTTACTGCAGAATATAAGAAACGAAACTGAAGTCCAAAATGTGTGGTTTCTGTTAAAGGGACAGTTCAGATCTTCTGAGGTGGTGTTCTGAGGTTCAGCTACTTTCCTTTAACACAAAAAAATTACCGTAATTCAGCAGATTTGACAGAAACTGAGCTAAATAAATAGATTTGGGCCTCATTTACCTGCAGAGTGAACAAAGTTTAAAACGACTCAGAAGAAGGAAGTTATTCAGATTTTTGTCGAGCGTAAAAAATTCTAAACAAAATTACAAAACATAAAACACGCCCGCCTGTTAAAAACCAAACAATTCTAATCTGTTAGTTTCTAAATCTTTGGAGGCAAAGAAACAAAACAAGGGATTAAATATTAAAATGTTTCCAGCACCAGATCAGGGCGTCACCGACACAAATGACCGCTCGTTCCTGCCAATCAATATTTTACTAACAATCTTTTACTTCTGCATAAAACTCTCGTCTGAAAAGAGCGGCGCTCCCAGGCAGCTGTTCTTCTCTGAACCAAGAAGAAAGATGAAAACCTTTAGGACATCTTGGGAGAGGTTCTGCACGCCAGAGACCTTAAACGCACCGCGATCATCGTGAAACTGAGGCGAGAGGTGGAGACACTTTAAAAACACGAAGAGGAGTCAGAACTTTTAATTTCTCGTTCAGATTTCAGGTTTCAGACGAGAAGACGAGTGTCTGAATAACCGGGTCACAGTCGGACCGTTTGTCTCGTCTCTCGTTTTATTCGGTCTGCAGATTAAAAACGAGCAGCCGCAGAAAATGAAACGTTTTGGATCGACTGGTCGGAGGTCGTTACAGGCAGAGGCGTCCTGAGAGCTGCCTGAGGGGTCCTCGACTCAACACGACTCACCGATTTCATCCTGGATCTCTTCGGCCACATACGGGACTTTGTAGAGCAGAGACAGACTCTGGTTCATCCTCTCCTCGATCACCCGCAGGTGGGTCATCACCTGGAGGACGGAGACAGGGGGACAGACAGGAGGACAGACAGGAAGACGGAGGTAGAGGAACAGACAGGAGGACACAGGAGGACAGAGGTAGGGTAACAGACAGGAGGATGGAGACAGGAGGACAACCAGGAGGACAGACAGGATGGAGTCACGAGGACAGACATGACAGACAGGAGGACAGACAGGATGACAGGCAGGAGGACAGACAGGATGACAGGCACGAGGACAGAGACAGAAGGACCGAGACAGGAGGATGGAATCAGGAGGACAGACAGGAGGACAGACATGACAGACAAGAGGACAGACAGGAGGACAGGCAGGATGACAGGCAGGAGGACAGAGACAGAAGGATGGAGACAGGAGGATGGAGACAGGAGGACAGAGACAGGAGGATGGAGACAAGAGGACAGACAGGAGGACAGACAGGATGACAGGCAGGAGGACAGAGACAGAAGGATGGAGACAGGAGGACAGACATGACAGACAGGAGGATGGAGACAGGAGGACAGACATGACAGACAGGAGGACAGAGACAGGAGGATGGAGACAGGATGACAGGCAGGAGGACAGAGACAGGAGGATGGAGACAGGAGGACAGACATGACAGACAGGAGGACAAAGACAGGAGGATGGAGACAGGAGGACAGACAGGACAGACAGGATGACAGGCAGGAGGACAGACAGGATGACAAGCAGGAGGACAGAGACAGGAGGATGGAGACAGGAGGACAGACAGGATGACAGGCAGGAGGACAGAGACAGGAGGATGGAGACAGGAGGACAGGCAGGATGACAGGCAGGAGGACAGAGACAGGAGGACAGACAGGATGACAGGCAGGAGGACGGAGACAGGAGGACAGACAGGATGACAGGCAGGAGGACGGAGACAGGAGGA